GGCATCGCTCAACCATTCCCCTCCCTTCAGGGGTGGGAGGTGAAGCTGTATCAATGCACCACTGGATTCTGGGACTTTGCTGACTTCACACAACAAACCGTGAGTGGGTGCAGTGGAGGGAAAGGGGAGTGGCATGCTAATGGCCATTTGTCCATTGGACTTTCACGCTGCACGGTGGAAAACTGAGCAAAGGACACTGCCCAAGATACCGTTGAGGCAGGTGTTTACTTGTAGTTTGCATGCTTTTGAATCACTGTGGTGTTTTTCCAAAGTAATACTGTGTTCCCTCTCTCTTGTAATAAGTTTTCTTTTGTTGTGCACACCCTCAGTGCTTGTGAGCAGGGAAGTCTTGCCTCTTAGTGTATGTCTACCCAGCATTTCAAAACCCACAGCTGTGAGTCTCAGAGCCTAGGTCTACAAATTCGGGTTTGTGCTACGGCATTAAAAAAAGCTGTATAGGCATTTGGGCTTGGCCTCTGAGGCCCAGAGAGGTGGATAGATTTCAGAGCTCCAGCCCCAGATGCAATGTCTACAGTGCTGTTTTTAGTGCCATAGTGTGAGTCCTGTGAGCCTGAGCCAGTAGTTCTGGCCTCTGAGACTCATTCCTGCAGATTTTAAAACGCAGTGTAGACATTCCCCTGGATGCCTCTACGGGTGGTGATTAGTTTTCCCAGTTTTCTGAGTGGGGATTCAAGCTGGTTCTGGTTTATATTGTTAAGAGGAACATTATAAAAATGTTAAGAGGAACTGTAGATCTTGAACTCGGCCCTTTTTGCTGCCACCACCACCTTGGAGGTTTTCAGTTGGTTTACTTGATATGTTTGATAGCACTTAGTGTACAGTCAGTTTCATTATATCCCTTAGAACAGGGGTGGATTGGGTTTGTTTGTGTGGGTCTTTCACACAGCAACAAGGGAGAGAAAACATTTTTGAAAATAGGAAAATGTTGTAAAACCACAGAATTAGCAGGAGGATTCAGGGACAATACTTTACACTACTTTTATCTCATTTTTTAACTCCCTACATTTCATGTTGACAGTCTCTTAAAAGCAGAGAGAGACTTTAGACCAGTTCCAAACTGAACACTGATTTCAATGGAACTAATCCCATGTATATAGACTACTCATGTAAGGACCTGTAGCACTGGACCCATAGTTTGCAAACAGTGACTACAAATCAGGAACATGAAAATCTGAGGGGAAAATTTAAAGCAGTTTTCAACATGTTTGTTAAGAATAAAATACTACCAAAAATCTTATAAGTAACTGAAGAATGAGAAATATACACATGCTGGGTCTATAAAACATTAGGCCTAAAATATGAGCATTCCTTGCAGATGAAGAATCTCTTAAGGCAGCGGCTCTCAAACTTTAGCAACCCAAGGACCCCCACTTTGATTTAAAATTTTTCACGGACCCCCAGGCCCCACCTCCACACCACCCATTCCCCCAAGGTCTCACCCCTGCTCCTCCTCTTCCCGCTCCTCCCTTTCCCCTCCTTTACCCCAACTCTTTCCACCCCTCCCCCAAGTACCCCATCCCCACTCCTCCTCCTTCCTCCCAGTGCCTCCTGCATGCCACTGAACAGCTGTTCAGCGGTGTGCAGGAGGCACTGGGAGGGAGGGGGGGGAGTTGATCAGTGGGGCCCATGGACCCCAGTTTGAGAAACACTGCCTTAAAGACTATCTAGGTCTGCCTCTGGGTAGTCAAGGAATGCCTCTTGAAGGACCAGGTGTTCAGGGAGTGAATTTTTACTCCTGGGGGTAGGTGTCTGATTTAAGATTCTTTTTTGCATCTATTATTTCATGATATTACCTCACAATTATAAATTAAAACTAAATTACCAGTAACCATGACCCAGCTGAGGTGTATTACACTGCAGTTACAACTTAACTGCTCCTTTATCTCTGTGTACCTCCAGGTAAAGATTCTGCAAGTGGAATTTAGTTAAAAGTTCTGTTGATGATGCATGAACCAAAAGAGAATCCAGCCCATTCTCACAGATTTCTATTGACTCTGCAGTGCCAATATGAATAAAGAGTAATTCGGAATAATCTATTTATATTTTTAATAATATTTTTAAAAAATTCATCCAATTTGCAAACAATCCAGACAGGCTTTTTCCCAAGTACTATCTGGGTTCATCCTCCATAAAGTCATGTTATGCATTACTAATCTTTGTGTAATAATTATTGACTGACTAATAATCACAAGATGCAAGTATAAGTTTCAGAAAGAAAGGAACAATGCAGAAAATTCTTCCCATCATTTTACAAAAGCACATGGTGATATGTATAGATTCATAGCTTTTTAGGCCAAAAGAGATCATTATGATCTAGTCTAACCTGCATTTCAAGAAGTGGTTTCTGCATCAAGCCCATAGGCTCTAGCTCAAACAGAAATTATCTTTTAGAAAGTATGATATATTTTAGAGGTATGTTGGGTCCCAAACTCAAACAAAGCACAAGTGAAAGAACCAAATATGTACCAAACATCAGGTACACAAGATGGAAACAGGCACAGTTCTGCAATTCAACACTGCCTCGGTACAGACAAGCATTTCATGGGAGTTAGCCACCAACACAGAGCCACAAAAGAACAACCCAAGAACAATTCTTTCATCAACCTAGCAGCATCTACTTCTGGTCTTAGGTTGGCTTACTTACATCACACGGGGCATGAAGTTTTTCATGGCCCTGATCAATGTAGTTAAGCCGACCTAACTTTATAGCGTAGACCAACCCTTAGTTTTGGCAAACCTTTGTATATAGAGCTGGCTGTGTTGGTGGTTTCTATATATGTATTCTGACAAATGTGAATAGTTCTTAGCTCCTTCCTATGGGTTTTTCTGCTTTAGTATTTTTTATGTAGTAAATGCCTTGCTTTTGTTGTCTAGTTACAGTAGCCTTTTTACTCATCTTCCTTTAGGCTGTGATATAGACATTCACAATAACTGAAAAAAATATTGTTTGAGAAATAGACAATGTTCAACTGAAACAGCAAGTTCCAAATAGCATAACACACATACATGTGAGCAAGAAATACAATACATTCTGTAGTACATAATATTCGCACCAGTTCTCCTATGCTGTGTGTGACTCTTGTAATGACATCTCAGTAGTTCTATATATCTGATAAATGATGCAACGTCTTGTTGCCAACATAATTTAGATATGTAGCAATGGTGTGACTCTTAGTGAAGTGAAAGGCAAATCACACTCTAATTTTTCGTGGTGATGTGCTGCAGGCAAAGAAAAAATATTTTAAAAGTGTGCCAAAGAAAGTCATGGACATACAAAGGAAGGCCAGATTTGACATCCTTTTTAAATTTTTGGTCCAAAACAGCCAGAATTCATGAATACTAGTTTCGGGTCCAAATACAGTACACACCTTGTGCAGGGCTAAGATCACCTACATTTAGTCAAACCATGTCTCTTTTAAGCTTCAGGCACAGCCTTATTACTCAGTCATCTGTTCTAATGCTCCTTTTCCATGACAGCTGTACCTCAGCATAGATCCAAATTGAAGAAGCGCTGATGGCAGGCTCCCTAAATCACACCACATTGTGGAAACACAAAAGGATGGCTGGTTTTGTAACTATAATAAAGCCCTTTATATCTATAATGTTACTAACTATAAAAGTTAAAATCATATGCATTTGTTGAGGAGTTTACTTGTGTGAACTGGTAAGAATATCTGAAATACTTCTAGAGCTGTTATGTATGAAGCATCCTGAATCACTATTTAAATATCAAATCAGACAAAAAGGAAAAAAAGTCAGAGATCAAAATATTGAAAGTCAAGGCCAATACAATTTTTAGATATAGCTTCTTCAAATTTCATACTTAGTCGCATCAGTGGGAATAATCTCTGCAGCCATTATAGCTCTAGTTTAAACCATTATTATAGCTTCACTGAGTGAGACTAATATATACTAATCTTTCTCATCTACTCTTAACTGAAATGTTAGCATTTTTCAAAACTCCTGAATAATTTCACCAACACAACTAGCATATTTTAAAAAAAATACTGTAAAAATTATTAAAGCCCCTAAGATCAAAAATTTCAAAAGTTTCTAAGTGACTTGAGAACCTAAGTCCTCTTTTCTAAAGGAACTGAAGGCATTTAGGAACCTAAGTCTCATTGAAAGTTAATGGGACTTAGGCTCCCAAGTCATGTAGGTGCTTTTGAAAATTTTACTCCAAGAGACTTATTTTGGAAGGAAGAGACAGACAGTATGAGTAAAGAAAACTCCCACTGCACTTCAGTGAAAGGTCAAACCAAGTGGTAGTCCTTCAGGATTGTTTTCAGGTAAGTTTCTATGTGTATTGTTTTTTAACTTCAGAACTGTAATTATAAATTGCCATTGCTTCTTTTTGTTACAGACACTGTCTGGGATTGTCTCCAACCCCACCCGTGAGCATGTGAATTGTCGTTATTATTTAATATTTAGGTTGTGGTAATTCCCACTGGGTGATAGATGCTTTCCAAACCCGGATAAAGACACAGGCCCTGTTCCTGCAAGGAACCAGGAGCTATCCACAGGGAATTAATTGCAGAATCAAGCCCAAGACTGCATCATCATAAACAAACTAAATAAATAGGTTCAAACTGCTGCATCTTCCAAATTAACTCCCTCCCTCTCCCTTTGATCTTCTCTATTCCACATGCCTCTGCTTCCTAGCTAAACTAAGAGCTTGCTTATACTGTGGATTTTTAGCCACCTGAGGCTAAAGGTCACTGAAGGTGTGTGAAGAACGGAGCTATTAATTGGCAGGCAGATGCATGAAAATAGGGAACACAGAGTAGGAGAATTAGAGGGAAGGATGGAGCAGGGAGTATCTACTTCAATATGAATTCTTAGTGGAGCCTCTGACTGACTTTTTTTTTTTAGTTCAAAAATCCCAGACAGCATCTGCAAAAAAAAGAAAGTCATGGCAATTTAAATAAACAGTCCTACCTATAGGAAAACCTCATATTTCAATACACATTGAAACTTACCTGAAAACTGACTTCAGTATCTCCTGCTTTCCTCATTCACTGAAGGACACAGAAGTTTCCTTTAGTCCTACTGTGACACTTCCTGCCAAGATGGCAGCCTCCATGACATAAAGTCAGAGGGATTGACTGACTGAAAAAGAAATATTTACATTGTGACAGATATTAATTAAAATATTTGCTGTTTTGGGGTATCAAATAAACAATTCTTTTTTTAATTAAAAAGCCAATAACAGTAAATATCTACAATACAAAATATCTATTTATGAAGTCTACTAACTCCAATTCCTTCTGTGAAAATATGTATTGACCTATGAAAGTTTCATTATTAATTAGTGGACACTTTCTTCAACCATTTCATGTTTTTTGATCTAATTTTGAATTATATGTATATTTAGATTTAAACAGTAGTTTTTTTTTAAAAAACCTGCCTATACAAAGAGTTCTGGGTGCCCTGACTATTCATTACTCACACACCAACATAATGACCATCCAGCAGCATGAAAAAAATAATTTGAAAATAACACAAACTCAGCTCACTAATATTACATAATCGCCTGATAGCAAATTAAAATACAGTGTAATAAAATTATAGTAAAGTTCTTTTAATTAGGACTCCCCAGTGGACAGCCTTGTATCCCGGTTAAGTGGCTATCCTAGTTAATGGTCCAACTCAACTCCCATTGACATCTTAGGAGTTGGTTCAGCAACTAAGAGAAGAGGCTATTTAAAAAATCTGAAAAGACTTAAAATGAAATCCAGTACTGGACTGACTAAGAATAATGGACTAGATCCTCAGCTGATGTAGTGGCATAGTTCCATAGTTTTCAATGGAGCTATGCTGACTTACACCAGATAAGGATCTGGTCGCATATACACTACTTTCCATGTTTAGTTGATCTTTATTAGTTCTTTTAATCTTTATCATTTTTGTACATAAAGAACAAAGCTTAGAAATTCAAGCCTTTTATTACTCTAAGTTCCATTTAACCCTTCTGGGCATTGGCTATCAATATTTCCCCTTTAAGACACACTTTTGCCAAAAGAGTTCTGATTAAGCAGCAGTCAGGACCATTCACTATCATGTGGATAGTGGATTGTATTATTAAATATTCAGGACTATTAGGTAGACTATATTGTATTCTTAAATATTCTGACTTTTCCTCTATTTCAACATTGGCACATTTATTTCAGCAAGTATGGAGGTAAGGTAGATATGAAGTCCCACAATCTCATCTTGGAAGTATGAGTTTTCCATAAATCTTTATTCCAAGTATCTCTATTGTCATTACTGATTTATTAATACTCATGAAGCTCTAAAACAGATCATTATGAGTTCCTGTTTTGCTATGTACTCTGGTTACCACCTTCATTTCCATAGGAATTCTACTGGAATGACATACTGTAAATACCTGCTTCACACTGACATTTCGTCCTTTAAATTCTTTTTATGTGACAGGATAGAAGGGATATAATGTATTCAAAAGGGCTGTATTATGTGTAAGAAAAACCTTAACAAACAGCATTAGTAAACACAGTGCAGTACAAACATTTTTAAAAAAAAACCCACCCAAAGCCTTTCCATTTATAAATTAACAGGTTTTATTTTTAAAAGTTGTTAGTTCATTATAAGAAGAGCTAGTGGAAAATGTTAATTTAGGCCAACTCCAGCAACTGTTGCTATTTGTCAGAACAGTATAATATTTGAAATATAGTGTTAAATGTAATTATTGAAGTTGGATTCTTTAAAATTGTTTTAATTAAGGTTGTGTTTTAATTCTGGTGGTAAATGATCTCATTTCCAGTGCTAAATTATTGCATAAGTCATACAGTGTCACACCTTACTGATATCCATTTCTTGGGCTTCTTTCATATATATCATCATTATCCGGGCCTTGTGGTAACACATATAGGGAAAGGTTAACAATTACCCTTGTCAAGAATAATAAACCAGACAGTCTTATATGCAGAACAACAATAAAAACATTCCAAATGTAAGAAAGATTAGCATATGAAAATACACAGCTCTAGGATGTTTGCACTTAGGATGCAGCACCCTGAATGGAGCCTGTGCTTGTTTGACTGTGAAGTGGCCTGGTCTGCCTGAATGAGCCTTTTGTCACCTTCAGTCAAAAACTAACAACTTGTTTAATTATTACACACCTTCCCAGCCCCACAAAGTCCCATTTCTCCACACTGCACCTTCAAACAGCACTCTTTTAATCAATTGGCAAGCTCCCCTCTCAGATATAAAGGATGGGTGGCATTTACCATAATTTAGAGTGCTAAATTCCATTAGAAGCCTGTCCTCCAAAGTTCTTCATGACTTTAGAAAAGCAGCAAGTAACACTTCATTATCTTGTCTTATTTGTTAAAAAGCTGAATCCTGCCTGATGCAGAATGGACCTGCAGAACGCTGGGAGTGAAACTGAATAGTGATGGTGGACGAGGGTTGAATTCAATACATCAGACATACAGGGATAAAGGAATGCTCTACCGTATATGCAGCCGGCTTCTCTGAATGCACTGTTGTCATACACTAATTAAGACCTGCAGCTCTTCTTTTAATGCAGCTTTCCCGAGTCACATGCTTTCCATACCCTGAAGTGAAATCATGGATGCGTACACTGGCAATCTCATTAGAACCTTTTAGAAATGTGGGTGATCTTGCCATATCATTCCGTCCCCTGGCCACCCATGCATCCTTAATTCACTGTCTTTTATTTAGGGATATGGCAATTCTGCTTATCTGTCATTTTATTTCCCAAAGTCAGCACAAAGACAAAGAACAAGCAAGGATACAATGAACAGCTTGCTGTAAATCTGAACCTAAAAAGGCTAAAGAAAAATGCCATTTTTACATTTTCTGACAGGTTTTGTTATAGAAAGAGACCTGCCATAACAGAATATTAACCTCTTCCTCACAGTCAAAAATACAATAATCCTATATCGTCTGTAATTTTTCCACAGCTGGTACAATAGTTTTTTGTAATCCAAGTTCTCCCAGTGCAGACCCTAAACACAATCAATTGAGATAGATTAGGCTGCAGCTGAATTCATATTTACATGTTAAATCTTTGAACAATTGATTCCTTTACATTCTAATAAGGCAAAGAGCTCTTGGGTGACAAATACATGCATCCTTTGTCTTTACTTACCAACCGAGGCTGAGGGCATGTGTGTTCTATCTCCTCCATGGTTTCTGAAAGAAGCTCATTAGAAAGGGATTTTGGGATACCTGTTTCTGACTCAGCATCGGTGGTGAGCACTGGCATGGCCAGTGAATGTTTGTTTTTCTCCGCGATGCCCTCTCTGCTGTTCTCTTCGCAGACAGATAATGTTTTTCTTTGTCATGTAATTCCCTCCCGCACCCCCTCACCTTTCTTTTCTCTCCCTTCCCTTGAGGAATTAAAGGTTTTTCTTTCAAGGAGAAGTGAAGAGGAAAGGCCTCAGTTTATCACTATGACAACCAGCCAGCAACAGAGCAGCTGGTGTGGGATACAGTATTCCCATTTGCATGATGTCTTCTGGTTGGTTCCTGTCACCATAGTACCACTCCATCTGATTTATGTGCTGTATTGATATTAGATGATACACACAGCACCAGAACTTATGGGAGGAGGGGTTGTTTAGCACTATAAGACTTTGTTAATGTGAACAAACACAGTTCACTCTACATATCAGACAACCCCCCCTTCCCAAGATACATATTAAAATTCTCTCAAATTATACCCCCCTCTGGCATGATTAATAGAGAAAGGTACTCATTTTTTGCATGTAACCAAGCTTTAATTAGTATTGCACTCTGTTGGAGATTTATAGACAAAAACTGAGGACCACATTTTTATATATGGGGGACTAAGATGCATGTGCAAAAAAAGTGTGCATTTATTGCACGTACAAAACCCATACTTGCAGGCACAATTATAAATTGTTACATACAGATACCAGATATGCATGTAAAAGCTTATTCTAGAGTCTAGGTGATTCCTTAAGTCCTGGCTGAGACACAATGGTAAGCTGATGTAGTGAAGCTTGCATTGCTACTGTCCATGCACAGGGTGTAAAACTGGGAGTCAGCCAACTGGCCTGACTCTGCCATTAGCCTCCTATGTGACAGGGATAAGTCACCTAACCTACATCTGCTTTGATTTTCACGATAAAGTGGGATAATAATACTTTACTTTGAGATCCTTTACTTTATTTCACTATAACAGTGCAAAGTATTATTTTTCTAAATTGAAATCACAAGGCAATTAACAGCTTGATATATCTGTTAACTAAAGATCAATGACCTATACAGCATTCTGTGTTGCAGAGGATGTGTTCTACTGACATGGTAATGCTGTTTATAAAGAGAGTCTTAATTTACCCAAAAAGAAAAGGAGTACTTGTGGCACCTTAGAGACTAACCAATTTATTTGAGCATGAGCTTTCGTGAGCTACAGTCTTATATGGCTTTGCTGTTCTTACTTGACTTGTGTCTTTGTGTTTCTTTGGTGCTGAAAGGACAGCTCCTCCAAGTGGAAACTTTACTTGTGGCATCAATTGGTGAAAAATAGATATAGAGAGGGACAGGTTATCCGGCCCAGTTCATGCTAACACTTACCGTATTGCACTGTTCTTAATACTCTATTTCCAGTGTCTTCAATGGCTTTGTCCACTGGTGATTGATTATTGATAGAGCTCCATTTTTGCGATTCTTTGTGAGAGCGCAAACAAAGACCAACTACTACTATTTTTACCACCATGTTATCTAGACCTGCTCATCTAGCCACAGCCACTCACACTAGTAAGCACTGCACACAGTTGTAAATGTTTGAAGGCTTGGTCCCTAGCACACCACTAAAATCTGCAATGCTATGTTTTACTAAAGGGACTTGAGAGTTGGACTTTCAAGGTAGCTTGAAAGCAAAAATCTACTGCCCTTCTTTTTTGACATTTTGGAGGGAAAACAGTCAACTCATATCTCTTACATAATTTCAGACTCGGGTACCTCTCCAAAGTCAAATGACTCAGAATACAAATTCTTATCTGTGTTACAGTCCAAACCCCCGGCTGGACTTAGTACACAGAGAGAATGAGAAATCTGAGAAACTCTGAGTGGCTTGTCCTTCATTGAGTTAGTCATGGAGCCAGTAGTAGAATCTTTGATTAACATGTTTATTTACTTCTCCCCTTGATGGAATGTATTTCCTTGTAGTTCCTGACACTTGTACTTAGACCATTTATAAGGATGTATTGAATATGATGATATTGGCATTTATTATCCATTGTAGCAAGGTAAATTGGCCTTCCCCGACATAGACAGGGAGGAACCACTTCCCGTCCCCTAGTGGGTGAAGCCATGCTGGGCCTGCCCCTTGTGCTGGAAGTGGAGGGCGGAACAGGAATTATAAGAGGACAGGCCTCCTACTCAGTTGAGGGAGAGCCAGTGACGGAGTCAGACGCTGGTCCCTTGCTGTTGGCCCGTGAACCAGGGACTGAACTGTATCAACTCTGCTTCTGGAGGAACACGAGGAGGAACTGCCATCTGGCGGATACCCCAAGGAGCTGCTGGAATTGCCAGATGCCGAGTACCCCAAGGAGCCCGAGTGCCTGTGAGGAATGAAGCCCTATGACTAGGTAGGGGAAGGAAGTAGCCCAGGGAAACCAGACATTAGTCCGGTTGTGTTTGCTGAAGCTACAGTCAGCATGTTTTTTGGCAGGATCCCCGCTAACCCAGTGGTGGGATTTCCCGCCACTGTTAGGGCCCTGGGCTGGGACCTGGTAGAGTAGGGTGGGCCCAGAACCCTCTACCCCCTGCTGCCAAACCCACCCCTCAGATGGCAGCCTCCCACCTTAGGCCGCATGGCCTGTAATTGTTTGCTGTCTACCCCAGCCAGGGAGTTCGGCCATAGATTGCTTCTTCTCTGCCCTACCCAGGGGGCTTGAGCCTAACTGTTTACTGTCTGCCACAATCTACTTTTTCTCTGCCCCGGATGTGGAGCTGGGCCACAGACTGCTTCTGCTCAGCTCCAGCTAGAGGGCTTGAGCCTAGCTGTGTTTGCTGCCTGGCCCAGCCAGAGGGCTGGCTATAGACTCCTTACTGATTTACAGTGCTAATCCCCTGTTGATTGGCCCTCAGCCGTTAAGTGGCGTAGTGAGGCATAGTGGCCTCCCTCTGATGCAGACAGGGAAGAACCGCTCCAAGCCCCGACATCCATAGTTGTAGATTTCTTTCCTGCTTTGATGTATATACTTTTTTATAAAAGACAGCAGGAGGACACAGGGGTTAATAATGTATTCTTTTTCTTTAAAATGTCTTCACCTTATGTGGAAAAGTCTTATCATTATATATGCTTGTAGTTTTTGGTAATAAAAATTGCTATTTTGATGTAAAGGAAATTTATATAGTATTCAACAAAAAGTATTTGTGTTCTAGATACACAGAAAGTGGCACAGTTTTAGGAATTAGACCTTTGATCCAAAATATGCCCTCAGCCCAAAATATAACCAAATATTTTTACCACAGCGAAATATGAATTAAATCTCTAACCTCCAGTGAATAGGGTAGGAATCTGGACAGTGTCTTAGGAATTGACTTGTTCTTTAGTCATCCTGTACGGCCATTTTATGACACATAGGTTATGGGTTTTCACTACTGATATACCAGATTTTCTCAGACTTGTTGTACATAGCAGTAATGTCAGGATAACTTTGAGTTGATGCTTTTGTAATGAAGAAAATACATTGGTTGGCTTGAAATGTAATAGGCTGAAAGATGTGGCTTTCAGTAGCACTTAGCCACTGTGGCTACTTTTAACTTTTATTTAAAAAATAATTTGAAGATTTTGTTGCTCCAATTCAAGCTTAATAAAGGAAAAATAGAAATTAGAGTGAGCTGACACCATGATGAACTATAAGAGAACCATGACTCAAAACTGTTCTTCATAAATAGGCAGCTTTATTTAAAATGTCATATCAGACATGGCACAGGCTGTAGAGAAGAGGAACTCTTCAAAAGAGAAGGGGAGGTGTGGATGAAGAAGAGGAGATGAGACATGGGAATGTAAACCCGTGAAAATGCAAAAAGAGAGTACAAGGGAGAGACTGGATTGGGGAAAGAAAGGAGAAAACACATAAAAAAGAGGCAAACTCTGAACAAGGCAAAACATGTTTTGTTTTGTTTTTTGTTTGGGGTTTTTTGTTTTTGATGTCACTAAACCCCCTTGCTGAATCTTTTCTCTTGTAATTAAGTTGCCTATCATTTATTTTCCCTATATACAGGACTCAAAACACTATTAAAGACATTCTCAGGGGAAATAATTATTAACATGATTAATGAAGCACCATGACCTTAATTTGTTACTCATTTCCTTTAGAAACAAATGCAGTGCTTTTTAGGGTAATACTCACCCAGATATGGAAAGTAAATGCAGGGCCCTTCACATCATGCAGTGGGGCTGAGTAAGGTGGGGACTTGGGCAGAGTGTTGACATAAAGCAGTCCTCTGCAAACTTTTCCAGGCATGCCAGTTCTTAAAAGACCAGTGTGGAGAGAATAACTGGCAGAGGCGGGAGTACCACTCGATGTCTACTCAGCTGGACCCAGTGGTCCAAACCCCTCTCCATCAGGGAGTACAGAGGGGACGTAGCTATTCTTCCAACTCATTGGCTGTGTGTGAGTTGGCAATGTAAATTTCTTCCCATCCTTTTCACTCTCCTCTTTAGTTAATTGTGCAAAGTCCATTACTCTAGCATTGTGCAGGGAAGGGTGAATTATACCCTTATTTCATTTAAGGTCTGCATGTTAAATCTTGTCCACATTCTGATTTAGTAAGTTTACAGTACAGCTATTTTTTCATCTTATGGTAGCATTAAAGAATAATGGTTCTCTCTTGCAGTAATACTACAGCCTATCTAAACTATACCAATGATGCAAGATGGAAGTGGAATATCCTCTTGCTGCTGCTCATTGTATATCCCGGTCTGGGGAAAAAGTCTTGATTAAAATCTTTTGTCATTTGCCTGAACAGAAAAAGTAATTAATAAACATATGTTGCCCTTTAATAAAGGCTTTTATTATGGATTAGGGTTCTATAGAAATATGATAGGGTTCTTTAGAAAGTATTCTAAAATATATAGAATTGTATACAGCATGATATCCTTTCTATAGGCTTTTTGAGTCATTCTACAGAAGGGATACAATTTTCTATAAATTCTCTAGACTTAAAGGCCCTGTGAAAAGGTTACCAAATTAACTTCTGTCAGATTTTTCTATAAGCATTTCATCCAAAGATTTACATAGGGTTTATAAGCATTATTTAAGCCTCATAAAACACTGAGGTAGGTAATGCTATACCAATTTTACATATTGATAATGGTCTTGATCCCAAAAAGCATTTAAGCATGTGCATACATTTGCTCATGTGAGTAATCCTATTTACTGCACGGGGGCCAGACTGAGAGACAGTAGTTA